GAAGCGGGGCAGGGAAGGGCTAAAGCCTGCAGGGAGGTGTGCAAACCACCGGGGAGGTAGAAGAGCTCTCCTGGTCCCTGCAGCCAGCTGTCTCTGTGCTTCAGCTGGATCTGCTGTGATGGCAACAACTATTAAATATGATGGTTCATGGCGCAGGGCTGCCGTGCTCTTTGTGTCCCACCGCAGCGGGTTTGGGCCCTGGCTTGTTCCCTTGGGACCCAAGAGTAGCTGGAGCTTCTCAGGTTTGGTCCGAGATCCCTGGAGGCCAGAGATCATCATATGATGATCAGAAGGGACCTCTGGGGGGGTTATCTGCTCCAGTCCCCACCCAAAGCAGGGCTTACACTTACACACCCCACACACCCCCCACACCCCCATTCCTACACTCCACACGTACCCAGTCCTGCAGCAGCAGAGAACAGGCGGGGCATCCCAGAGGCTGTGGTGGGCACAGAGGCACGCTGGCTCACAGGTGGGCATCGTAGTAGTACTCCAACAAGTCAAGCTCATCACGCTTGCTTTTGCCAGCTCTGCGCAGCCCCGCCGGCCGCTCCCGGGCTGCCTGGGTCCTGAAGCGAGGCTGCTTGGGTTTGATGCCGTAATCTGAGGGTAGAGCAGAGAGGCCAGGTTCAGCCCTGGGGCTGGGAACAACCACCCACCTGGAGGGGTGAGTGCATGGAAAGGGGATTTGGAGGGGGCGAGGAGAGCACTGTACCATCCACCAGTCCGAAGTGCTCCTGTGGAAGCTCCAGCGGAGCAGAGAAGTCCTCGGGGACCGAGTAGCTGACCCTGTGGAGGATTACCAAGGACAGGAGTGAGTAAAGACCTTACGGTGTTCACTCATGCTGGCACAAGAGCTCCCACACGCTGCTTGTCTTCGCCCAGCCCAGCCAGCTCTCAGGACTTGGTGCCACAAATGTCTGCCCATGCCTGGGCCAGGAGCCATGGGGTACCTCTGCAGGTACCAGGACCGGGAGGAGGAGGAGGGAGGGGGGGAAGCACCATCACCTCTGGCGCAGGGGCTGCGTGAGAGCAGTCCCCAGCAGCAGGGCAAGCAGCAGGAGCCAGCACTGCATGGCGCGCCCTGACACCAGCTCCACAGTGAGGTCACAGAGAAGCCACCCCGGTGGCCCTGGGACACCGCTGGGTTGGGCAGTAGGCAGGCCCCCGCCCAAGCATT